AGAAATAGCTCCTGCATCCTCATCAAAAATTAGAGCTTTGTTTGTGTTGGAAGGGACCCTTAAAGGTCATCTGGTCCAAACCTCCTGCAATGACCATGGACGCTTACAGTTAGATCAAGTTGCTCAGCCTGGTGTTGAACGTACCCACGGACAGGACACCCACCACATCTTTGGGCAATCTGTTCCTGTGCTTCACTACGCTGAACATAAAAAACTTCTAGAATTATATACAGTATAAATGTCCCCTCTTTTAGTATGAAACCATTTCCCCCCTGATCTGCCACAACAGAACTGCTGAAGAATCTGTCCCCTTCTTTCTTATTGCCCCAGTTTAGATACTGAAAGGGCACTAGCACATCTCCTGGGAGTCTTCTCTTGTCCAGGCTGAACAGCCCCAGCTCTTTCATCCTGTCCTCATAGGGGAGGTTCTATCCCTAGGATCATGTTTGTGGTCCTCCTCTGGATGCACTTCAACAGATCCAGGTCTCTCTTGTAATGAAGCCCCAGTAGGGGAGTTCATAGGATCATAGAATCATAGAATCATAGAATGGCCTGCATTGAAAAGGACCACAATGATCAACTGGTTTCAACTTCCCTGCTATGTGCAGGACCGCCAACCACGAGACCAGGCTGCCCAAAGCCACATCCAGCCTGGCCTTGAATGCCTCCAGGGATGGGGCTTCCACAACCTCTTTGGACAGCCTGTTCCAGTGTGTCAATGCTCTCTGTGTGAAAAACGTCCTCTTAGTATCTAACCTAAACCTCCCCTGCCTCAGCTTAAAACCATTTCTCCACTGACCTATCACTGTCCACCCTCTGACAGGAGAGGTGCTTGCCAGCCCTCTGATCATCTCAGTTCCCCTCCTCTGGACCCACTCCAAGAGCTCCACGTCCTTCCTGTGCTGGGGGCCCCAGGCCTGGATGCAGTACTGCAGATGGGGCCTCACAAGAGCCAAGTAGAGGGGGTCAATCAGTTCCCTCTCCCTGCTGGCCACCCCTTTTTTAATGCAACCAGAACACGGTTGGCCTTCCGGGCTGCAAGCGCACACTGCTGGCTCATGTCCAGCTTCTCCTCCACCAGGACCCCCAGGTCCTTCTGTGCAGGGCAATGAGAGAGGTCTGTCCCACTCTGAAAATGCAGGAAGTTGTAAGTCACAAAGATGATCTTCTCTACAGACAGGTAGAATTGCACTTAAATTTCACTGCATTTGTAATTTAATCAGAGAAAAATGGTAGGCATGTCATGAGTACAACTTCTGTTTCAAACCTCTGCCTTAGCATTAACTGAAGCATTCTCTCAAGCTCTCTCTCTCTTTCTCCACTGACTGCAAGGGAAACTACACGACTAGGTGACAGTTTCACCCAGTAACTTCTGCCTGGAACAAGTTACATAAGACAGTATTCACTGTGTGTGTTCACTACTTCCATCTTGAGGGATGCTCCAAAAGTAATGCCTCCTCTTGAATTATGATGGCCCACAGTGCCAAGAGTGGGGGTTGTTGGTACGGCAGTAGAGGCTGAACCTTCACACCAAGATTCCATTCCGTTTTCTTACCGTGGGACAGATGGCAGAAGAGGGGCAGTGTGACAAAACGGTTCTGATATGGAAGAGCATAGGAATGGAAAATAGTGGAACTGAATTCCTACACGTAGAAAAAATGGCACCACTGACATTCTTCAACACTTGCTGAACACTTACGGAGACCAAAGAGTTGAACGTTA